TTTTTTTCCGCGAAAGATTTATCGAAGGTCATCGCTTTCATTGTTTTCCTTTCTACCGGACTGACAAAGAATAGAAACGCAAGGCAATCCTCCGGCAGAGCCAGTGGGCGGAAGTGTCCCCATATGTCACAGACTAACGAACTGAAGCCTCAACATTTCCGTGCCGAGCCCTGGCAGTGCGTAAAGGATTCTCCGATTCCTGTCCCCACTGTCACAGGCTAGCAATCTGGGTAGGCACAGCCCTGACAGTGCGGCAACGACCTGCAGCTGCTCTGACGGGCTGCGCAGATGTTTGCAAATGTTACGGCTTCCCGGGGAAAGCACCAGTGAAATTTCGCGATAGATCCGCGAAAGTTTCGCGAATGTGCCGCTAAAGTCTAGGTTCCCAGCTTGAGGCCCCCCAACATTCCCCAAGCTGTATCACCCTGTGTTGGTAGCTGGCACGAGGATTGGGTTGAGTTGTGCCTGACTCTATTTGGCACAATTGTCGCACAGATGCTGCAAGTGACCCTGAGTAGCTGTGGAAACGTTCAACCATCTACTGGGGTCATGCTGCAAGATGTCTCTACCTATTTTGTGATACTATGACATGTTCCGGCTCATGTTGGCTAGACATGGTTGTAGGACCATGCTTCGCGATGAGGCCGCGAAAGACCCGCGAAAGATATCTTTTTTCCGCGATGAATGGCCATTCCAGGATGAAAGAATATTGATCAACCACCATATATATATATGATTCTATGAATGCAGACATGAACATTTCATACACGTGGTCTTGCATGTGTAGGTTTCATTGAGGCAAAATACCCTGGCATAATCTCCGTCGCAGGCCACTGCAATTCGCGCTGTGGCACCAGGCCAATGAAGCAGTTGCAAGTTTCTTCAACTCCACACAAATGGCAAAAGGAACCTAATAGTGATGGCCTCCAACCTAATCCCTAGTGCCTATTAATAAACGTACCCCAATTAATAAAAACACATGTGCCCGACCCCAAAAAATTGTTAGTAGCATTTTGAAATTTCTCCCTTTGAAATTCAATACTCGTGGGTCCACAGTCGGGGGTGCCCCAGATTTTAGGTGTATTAGGGGGACAGCAAAAATAACCCGAATTCCCCCTAATATTAAAAACATCTCCAATCCTGATGGTCGTTTTAACAAGGATTTTTTATAATTAATTAGATTGGGAACCCAGGGATTTTCTTTCGAGACCCTACTTTTTATTAGGGCGAACAGAACATTGCCCATTTGGGGGTACAACAGGTGCCCCTCAATAATAAACACCCCCTATTAGTAAAAACACCCCAGGGTTTTTATTAATAGGGGGGGGGCGAGGCCCCGTTTATTATTAGTTATTATTAGTGAGAGGGGATTACTAGTTTCTTTCCTTTCATATAACTTGCTTTACAAACCCGCATAATACATATTCAGTATTCAATTTTTGCAACCTCTACTTCAAGCCCGCATGGGAAGAGTTCCTGTTTTGCACAACCGCTTCTGCTTTGACTTTGACTTCTGGGGTGTACCTTGTTCTAGGTACTTTGTCTGAACCATGACATGTTCGTTGGGAAGAAGCTGTTGGAGGAGCCTCTAGAGCGATTTCTGCTCCTGTTTTATTCCGCAGGCGCGGCCGTTCTTTGCCGTGCTACACCATTCGTGGATGTTGGGCTCTGAGTGATGCGTGTGCAGGCTTGATTTAATGCTCAGTTTCACACACCTAACACAGAAAAGCACCGGGAGGATTTCTTCCAGAGAATGGATTGGCAAACGTAGCATACACTTCTAACTGCCCTGGCAGTTAAGTCTCCCTAAAAATGAGCGTCAGCTAGCTAGGAGCTTCCTATTGCTAAACTACTCCCTTACTCAATTAAGTAGGCGCCTACCCCTACTTAATTAAGGAGGCAGGGCCATGGGCTTGAAATATGAGAGTGCGAGACGCACTGCACCGCCATTGCAAGGCGTCTTTGAGCCAACCAGCAGTGGCTCCGCTGGCTTCGGTTGGTCTCGGCTTGAAACTGAGCATGCAGCATGACGCAGCATGCCGTCTTTAGAAAAAAACACCTTCCTGCAAGCAGGCATACTGAGTGATATATACTCAGTGAGTAGTACTAGGTGAGTAGACCCTTTGACTAGCTGCTTCAAGGACACGGCATGACTGAACAAGTATTGGAGATCAGCTGTCAAACGTCGATAGTGTACAGAAGCAATCATTAAGACACCAATTCGATTCTGCTGAAATTCTCAAATATTCTCAAGCCGCTATCACACTGAACTTGTTGCCTTTCTTCCTAAGTTGAGGTGCACCACTGTCTAAGCGCAATGCTGGCGTGTCTGTGCTCGGCTGTGCCATCGCAATGGTGGCAGTTGGTGGTTGCGCACAGGTGCTGACTCAAGAGATCAGATGTCTTCAGTTTTTGGATGCCTGAGCAAACTCATGGCATCTCATTGCTGATGCACAAGTATTCAGTGGGTCATGTTAAGAGATCCAGCATCGCCCAGCATCGGTGCAAGTTAGAGTCTCGAAAGTCTGGAGTCAGAGTCAGTGTCCAATCCACTTATATAGTCCAAGCGCCAAGCTTAAACTGACGTTTTCAGGGCATCGGTCAGCTTTTCGCTGCATTGGTGGTGGGCATGGCACGCAACCCATCCATGAAGGAGGATCTGTTCACGTGCGCTAATCGTGCAGTTGTCATGGCTTTCCGAATCTGCTTTGCAATGCTTTCCGGATCAGGATGTTTCAAAATTGCATTTCACGGGATGTCCTGCTGGTTGCAAGAAGGACCAGACAGATTCCCGTCTTTGGCCTTTGCAGGTACACATTGATTGGGATGGGTTTCTTGGAGTTCTTGGCCATTGTCGTCATCCTCATTGCAGGCCACCTGAACGTAGCATATTTGGAGGCTGCTGAAAGCATTGAAACAAACCTTCTAGACATCCTCCTTCTATCATGGGCTCTGAGCCTGGCTGGAACATTTCATGCACTTTTCAGGCTTGCTGCTCTACTCAGAATGAGGCCATCGGGACAAAATGCGACTCCTCATACAATTCTTGAGGCGTTTTGCACAGGCATTGCATTGTTGTAGGTTTTGAGTGCAAGGTAAACTGTGGTTTCAGGTGGTGCTGGAGACTGAGCACGTCAAGGAATGTGGTGCGCATTCATTGCCCTGCTTGTGAGTGGACAGACGTATATAGAAAGTCTCCAGAGAACGTAGAACCGTGGAACATGTTGTTTTGGAAGGATTTGCCAATTGCTCACCATGCGTTGTTATCTCTGAAAGGCAGACAGCTCTCAAATTGTTCGTTGTTTTGCATGCACCTTGCTTGCAACACTTCTTGGCCGTCATGGGGACCAGTATCATTTTTGTTCAAGAACTCCTGCTTGACGCTTTGTTGTCAAAAAAATGGATCCTTGAGTGGCACTTTGCTTGCTTGATTGTGTGTAATGTGTAATGTATTTTGTATTTGGTCTTGAAAGGACTCTGATGCACCAGGCTGTAGCTACAGCTATATACATTATAATTCTGGATAACTTTGTTTGCAAGTCACATCCTTCATGCGGTCCCTAATTTCGTTGCTGCTTTTGGCGGCGGTTTGCTGCATTTGGCTCAGACTGGCAGATCCGGCTCCAGCATATCGTGCCAACATCGATCACTAGAAGGACTGAAAGTGGGGAGATCACGAGTTGTTTGACTATGTCCGTTTGAGGTAGATGTACAATTATTGTCAAACATGCCCCTTTTACACGCCAACTTTTTAACGTTTGGACGTTTGACGCACAGGTCATGGCTTTGCTTCGCCAGGCAGTTCGCGCTCAGGCGCAGACGATGCTACTTTTTGAACCCAAATGACATAGAGTAGACTACTTTGTGTCCGGAGGCTACAATGCATTTGTTCGTTTGAATCATTTGCCACACTTAGAGTATATATCACTGTCACTAGCAATGCCGCTATTGTTTTCCTTTGTTGTTTTCTCTTTACCAGAAGACCAGAAGAGACTGTCAACGTGCAATGTCATCATCAACGCCTTCAATGTATCACTACCATACACTGTGTGGATTCCAATAATGACGAGATGGGATCTTGTGTGGACCTAGTGGATACAGTATATGTCTGGAACTCCAGCACTGGGTCCAGCACCTTCCAAGGAAGAGACCAATGATAATACTTTTTGAACTTTGTCTTGTGACTGTGACTCCTCAATCAGTAGCAATGGGGGTATACCATTATCTCTGCAGGCCTTGGTTCTGGTTAGCACAGGTGCATGTGGAAGTTTGGTTTGTTGACGGAAGGGGACCACTGACCTTGGCCCAAATGTGCTGCAGGACAAGATAAGATATACAAATCAAGCAAATGCTGGCACCCACGTCTTCTTAAATGCGCAGAGTCAACTTCAGAATAATTAGCTAGTCAATGTTTGGCAATTTATATATGGGAGTTGATCGAAAACTCCGTGTAAGGAGTTTTATATAAAACAGCCTTTCAGATGTTGTTAGAACCATCCGCGAAAGATTCACGATGAGGTTCGCGAAAGTATCTTTTTTTCCGCGAAAGATTTATCGAAGGTCATCGCTTTCATTGTTTTCCTTTCTACCGGACTGACAAAGAATAGAAACGCAAGGCAATCCTCCGGCAGAGCCAGTGGGCGGAAGTGTCCCCATATGTCACAGACTAACGAACTGAAGCCTCAACATTTCCGTGCCGAGCCCTGGCAGTGCGTAAAGGATTCTCCGATTCCTGTCCCCACTGTCACAGGCTAGCAATCTGGGTAGGCACAGCCCTGACAGTGCGGCAACGACCTGCAGCTGCTCTGACGGGCTGCGCAGATGTTTGCAAATGTTACGGCTTCCCGGGGAAAGCACCAGTGAAATTTCGCGATAGATCCGCGAAAGTTTCGCGAATGTGCCGCTAAAGTCTAGGTTCCCAGCTTGAGGCCCCCC